TTTATTGTTTAGTTGCAGTGAACCAGCCAGAGCAGTTGATGCGCACACCAAACCCTAGAGACGGCGTCGTATCCGGTGCCAGCTACTCGCATGCAGCGCCCGCCTTGCCGGCACGACGGCACCGCCGCGTGGACACTCCCAGCACCTTAGGCTAGACTGTTCGTTTTGAACGCTGTGATTTTCAAAAATGGATATTTCGTATTCCGCATGTGAGGAATCAACTCGGATTGTAATCATAGTATGCGAGCGAGAGGAGAAACGGTCACGCTCGGTTGTTAAGCATTGCGTGACCTGTGACCCGCGGTGATATAGGCAGCGACGGCGCAGGCCGGCGCGCATAGCCTAACACGTGAGTCGTTTTTGCTCATTACAATGTTCGTATAAACTTATCTATCGATTACGACTTAATCCTCCTCCACTAATTTAGTGACAGGTCGTTTAGAGCACAGATGTTAATTAGCGTTGCGGCGCGGCGAGGCGGCGAATCGCATGTCGGCGGCGACGTCGTCGTTTGTGGCCTGTCGTGTTACCTGCTACGGGCGTGGTTTCCGGTAGGGAGCGGACGCCTGTGGCCGACGCCTCGTCACGACCATCGCCGTTCCTCCCTTTACTCGTGTTGGTTTTACCGGCCATATATGCGAATTTTCATTGTTAGGATCTCTTCGTGTTTCCTTATCGTGGTACGTTCATGTAGACGACTGTAGTTCGTCAGCTTTGCCGCGGTGTTGGCGCACGACGCGGCCCGCGCGCTGCCCGCGGCGCGAGTCCGCGTTGCATGCTGCCGCGGCCGACGGTGTCAGTCAAAACAGCCTGCTAGCGCATCCCCCGTGCCAGAAAGTGCTGCTCGTCAAGCGAGATGACTTGTTGCAGGGTTATAGCGTGATGCGTTGAGGTGCCCAAGTGTGTGGTCGGTTTGCTCATTTCGAGTGAATAGATGATAGATAGATTGCCACTACTCTGATTATAGTGCTGGAAGTGGAATGAGGGACCGCATGGTAGGCCTGTGTACGTGAAATCGTATGGTCGCGTAAAGCGAGTTTAAATACAGCGACGGAGACTGCTATCTATTACACTCTTCTATTGACGTCAGCTAGATGTTAATTTCAGCTGGCTGTTATTCGTAACTCGCTATCGCCGTCACTACAACAGAGTTAGCATGTTTAGTCACGGTCGTTATGTTTTTCCTGCGCTTACGTCTGCGGTTTTATTTCGTTGTAGCATTGAGACCAAAACGGTTCCTATCGTTATGTCTGTATTAGTATTATTATTCTCATTTTATTTATTATTTATTATTATTATCATTATACGATGGCGATCATCATCATTTTATAATAAATTAAAACGGTACATGTTTAGGTTTAGAGTTTTGAATACTATATCTTATGTACGTAGGGAGGTGATTTATCGTCCACACTCTAGGACTGCCTTGACGGCGTTGGGGTGGAGATATATATAGCATATAATATACGTATATGATGGATGAAGGTTGTAGTCCTGCGGCCTACTAACCTGTACTAAGGTGTGCCGCTGGTCGTCGGAGGTGAACCATAACCGGTGCCGCTACAGCGCGAACTGCAGTGGGCGCTTTGCAGACGATTACTTTGCGGCAGATGTTGG